TATTAAATATAAATGAAACTAATATTTTATTTTAATTTTTATATAGTATAATTATAATCCTTTCTCTTTCGGTATTATCAGGTTGTTTCTCTCCAGTATAACAATGTTCTTTCTTTAATGCCAGTAATAGGGCATTCAGGTAACTATAGTGTTTATATTACATAATTATTATATTTAAATATAAAAGAAACTAATATTTAATTTTAATTATTATATAATTATAATTCTTTCTCTCACATTATTATCATGTTCTTTATATAATGTCAATTCTAATAAGGCATTTATTTAATTAAGGTAACTATAGTGTTTATAATTACATAATTATTATTTAAAAATAAGAAACTAATATTTATTTTTAATTCTTATATAGTTAATTTATAATTCTTTCTCTTAAATTGTATATATAATTCTTTCTCTCTCACGGGATTATCAGGTTTTTTCTCTTCAGTATAACCATGTTCTATCTTTAATGTCAATAATAGGGCATTTGTATAATTAAGGTAACTATAGTGTTTATAACTGCATAAATTAAATTTGAATATAAATATACTAATATTTAATTCATATTTAGTTTAATTCATTCTCTTTCAAGCTTCACAAGTTCTATCTAAGTCTACATTGGGATAATCATAATATTAAGGTAACTATAATGTTAATATTTACATAATTATTATTAAATTCGAATATAAAAGAAACTAATATCTAATTTTAATACTTATTTAGTTCAGATTCAATTCTTTCTTTTTCAGTTTCAATACGTTATTTATTTCGTGTAATTATTCATACATTGGGGGTTCCATATATTCCATTATATCGCGGTTCAGTATGTTCTTTATAATTGTAGTTTTCAAGTAATTCATCAAACACTGGGGTTTTTTTCAGGTCACTCATCAAACTTTTGGGGTTCAATATTTTCTTTTTATTCGGGGTTTTCAGATCATTAATCTAACATTTGGGATTCAATATCTTCTATTAATTAATTGGGGTTTTCAAGCTATTCATCATACAATGGAGTTTTCAAGTCATTCATCAAACATTGGGGATCATAATTTTCTTTTTAAATGTCGTTTTCGAGCCATTCATTAAACATTGGGGTTGTTTTTCAAATATTTCATCATACATTGTGGGTTTATTAATTTATCAAATGCTGTGGTTTTTTCAAATCGTTCATCATACATTGGGGTAGTTTTTCAAATCTTTCATCATACATTGTGGGTTTATAAAGTTATTCAAACGCTGTGGTTTTTAATTCGTTAAACATTGTGGGTTTTTAATTCATCAAACGCTGTGGTTTTTAATTCATTATACATTGTGGGTTTTTTAATTCATCAAACGCTGTGGTTTTTTAAAATCGTTCATTATACATTGGGGGTTTGGTTTATTCTTTTTAAATTGGGTTTTTTAAATCATTTATTAACGCATTGGGGTGTTTTTATA